CCCTTTCGGCCCCCGTGGTCGCCTCGTGGCCGCCTCGGGACCGCCGTGTGCGCGGGCCGGGTTCCGCAGGTGTTCACCTGGTCGCCGCCAGTGGCCGCCCGCTTGCAGTTTGTAGCACGTAGATCGCACCACACTGGCACACGTATGCGTACATACATGTCCGCATCTGTATCTATTAGATAAAGAGAAAACATACTAGCCAGCGTGGGCCGCAAACAGTGTGTTTCTGGCACCATGTGTGATGCCATCTATGTGGAGCAATGTATGTGGTGCAATCTGTGTGGAGCAACATATGTGGTGCAGTCTTTTGTGGTGCAGCTAATGCTGTGCAAGCTATGTGGCGCAATCTGTGTGGCAGGAGCTAACGTACTCATGCATTTGGTGTGGGCTATGTGGTGTAAGCTACGTGATGCAATGGATGTGGCAAGAGCTAGCGTACTCACGTCAGTGGCGTGGGCTATGTGGTGTGAGCTATGTGGTGCAACCTATGTGGTAGGAGCTGGCATACATCTATGTGGCGTGAGCTATCTAGTGTAAGCTACGTGATGCAATGGATGTGGTAAGAGCAAGTGTTCTCATCGAGGGAAGTTACACATGGTCAGCATGCCGTCAGGGACTTTAAGCTTGCATGTCCATCCCGCAATGGCAGAGCAGGGCAATGCTAAGCACGGCGTAGCAATGCGAAGCGACGCGACGCAACGCAAAGCAATGCAATGCACAGCAATGCAAAGCAAGGCCACCCACTGCAGTGCTTTGCAATGCAAAGCAGTACGCGGCAACTCAGAGCAGCACAACGCAACTCAACGCAAAGCAACGCGAAGCAACGCAACGCGCCGGCGATGGCGAAGCAACGGCGACGGGCGGCGACGAGGCGGCGACGGGGTGGCGACAGCCGGCACGGAGCCGCCAGTCGACACACAAGCTCAGGCGACGGGCCTTGACGAGGCGGAGACGGGGCGGCGACGGCAGCACGGAGCCGCCAGATCCACACAGGCCCAGCTCTCCAGACCAGGAGTAAGAATCTCGCGCCACATGCCTTGCACCACAGAGTACATCACGTGGCTTGCACTGCATAGTTTGCGCAACATGGCTTGCGCTACACATGTTGCACTTTGTAGCTCGCATTACAGAACTTGTGCCACACAGCTTGCATCACCGCTTGTACCAAATAGCTTGCCCCCCATGCCTTGCATTACACAGCTTACGCATGCAGGGTTCAATCATTTACTATCAGGGGTCCACGCTGTCAAAACATGTTGCTGTATTCCAGTATCGCTTGGTGATTGGCTGATGTTGCACGTGCCTGGTTACGGATGGAGTGACCAGGACGAGCCGCGAACGAGTGGAGCAAAGACAACAACAACAACTTTATCGATCCAAATCCTCGAATGACGTACCCTTTCCACGCCATCGTTTCGTTCAGGATCGCACCGCACACCACCGCCTCGACGAGGGGCCAGCGGTCTGGGCACTCTACCATTTGCCGTCGGTGTGGCACCAGTGCAAATTGGCGCGCCAGCTGATCCTGAAGCTTCGACCAGGTGGCCTCGGGTTGCCTGATGGGCTTGTTTTCCACCACCACCATAACTTGGAGGGGGGAAGGAGGAGGAGAAGGAGGAGAAGGAGGAGGCGAAGGACCTCCTCATCCTCCCTTCTCCCCCGTCCGACATATAGTAGTACGGTGGTGGTGGTCGCCCCTCGCGCGCCAGTTCCCTCCTCCTCCTCCTCGTCTTCCTCCTCCTCCTCCTCCTCCTCAGCCTCCTCCTCCTCCTCCTCCTCCTCCCCCTCCTCTTCTTCCTCCTCCACCCCCTCCTCCCCCTTCCGCCTGCTCCTCCTCCTCACCCTCCTCGCCGAAGCACGCTCCTCCTTTTCCTTCTCCCCTCCGCCTCGCTCCCCCCCCCTCCTGGGCTCAGCGTTTTGAGGGTCTCGCGTTCCGCGGCTCGGGTAATCAGCTTTCTCGGCTGAGCGGGTGCGCCCCAGCGGCTTCTGCCTCTCGCGCCAGCGGGTGAGCAGGATTCTCAATGAGCTCCTGAAAAGGGCACTCGAGCTCATGGGGTGGTGGCAGGTATGATGGAGGCAAAGGTGGCCAAGGAGGGGGCAGAGCTACCCAGCAGTGCATGACTTACAGTGAGCGGCTTGAGTAAGGAACACTTACTTTTCAAAAGGGGCTCGGTCGTTCTTTAAGGCTTGCATGCGTTACGTATCCTTCCTTATGCGTTTTTTCCTTGGAAGACAGGGGTTCCGTTCCTTATTTATCGTTCCTTAGGTCATGCCGATGAGTGTACTCCCAGCCTCGCTCTCGCTGGAGCTTCAAGAATACAGGCTGGTGCCACCAGTGTGCAGGACCTCTCGTCAGTAAGCCGTTGAGGAGAAGAGGCCCGCCTGCAGGCGGCCACGATCCCACACGGGCGGAGGAGGCGCCAGCGCACCGGCGAGGGCCTAACGGAAGCAAGCCCAGAGGCCCTCCGCTTTTCACGCGCAGGCCTCAGGAGGGAAAGAAACACAAAGACACAATTAATCGGCGATTCCCCAGAACATATGGGAAAATCTGGGAAGTGTGGGGGAAGACAAAAACTCAGAAAATATTGGAAAACATGGGGAATCTTTTTATTTGTGTGTATTTATTTGTGTGTCCCAGGTCCCCTTGAAGGCCCTGGGTGTGGCCCACTTCGGGATGGTACGTTTGTCGCTTTGTGTCCCACACCCGCGTGCATCACACTCGTCATCGCCATGGCGACGACACAGCGTGCTTGCCTCGTTGCCCTCCTGTCTTGTTTTTTTTTTTTTCTCTACTTGGCCGATGCCCGGTAACTTCAGCTTTTCGATGTAAGCCTATCATTTGGCCGACGATACGTGCTGAGGACACGCGGGGAAAGGGTAATCAGAGGAGCAATCGATGTCGTGATAATGATACGCTCCAGTGCGTCCTTACACTCCACACATACCGCGGAGACGATGTCCGCTAGATACTCTGGGATTCCTTGAACATGTTCTGAGCCAATCCTATCATGACATCGTCCTCGTCCTAAGGAGGAGGTGAAGGAGGAGGAGGAGGAGGAGGGGGAGGAGGAGGCGCAGGAGGAGGAGGCGCAGGAGGAGGAACAGGAGATAGAGGAGGTGGAGGAGATGGAGGAGGAAGAGGAGGAGGAGGAGGAGGAGGAGGAGGAGGAGGAGGAGGAGGAGGAGGAGGCGGAAGAGTTGGAAGAGGAGGAGGAGGAGGAGGAGGAGGAGGAGGAGGCTCCCGCTTACGCCTCGCGGACCACGGAGGTGGCAGGGCTTGGTTCGGCGGGAACGTGCCCAGCCCGGTGCTCCGCATCGCGGGGGAGGTCCCCTTCACCAGGCGGCCTGCCCTTCTTTGCCGCCCCCTTCGAGCGTGCTGCTCTCTTTGGAGGCCGAGGTTGGGCTTTTTAGGGCGGCGGGCGACCAGTGATAATGGCAAGGACGAGCCTCAGAGGCAAGAACACAAGGGTACCCTAGATGAACGCGCGCGTCCTTACTAGGCGCGTTGACCGTATATGCCCTGCGCGCGGGTGGCGCAGGGCACATACAGTCCTGGCAAGGCAAGGCCCATCCTTGACCCGGGATCGGTGCATATGCCTGCCTGGCCAAGGTGGGAGGGCGTATGCACCGATCCTGGGCTCAGGGTGGGCCTGGCCAGAATCGGTGCATGTGCATAGTTCTCTTTCCTCTAATATACCGTCGTGCTGCCCCCGCAAGGGGGCCGAGGGTGGTCCGGCACCGGCTCCCTGCCAGCAGGACGTGTTGGGGCAGGGGCAGGGCTCCGAGCACGGGGGAGCGCCTCCTGCCCCTCTCGGCCTCCCGGGGGCCCGTGTTCGGGCCCCGGGGCCGCTGACGAGGGAGAAAGGCACACAGGCACGAGTCATCGTCGATGCCCAGGACATATGGGACGATATGGGAAGCGGGGGGGAAGACAAAAGCCCAGGAAGTATAGGGACATAGGGCGAATCCTGTGATCTCTGTGTATTTATTTGTGTGTCCAAGAGCCCCTTCGACCGTGAAAATCTGATCCGGGGTGAAACATTGCGCCAGGTGGACCTCGGGAGGGCTACCTGAGATCGATTTCGGATGGAGTTGGCCTCATTCCCCCTCCTGGTGGGTTTTCTAGGGTCCCAGCCAGTTCAGACCCTCTGGCCGCCTCCAACTCTCTGCGTTCCATTCTTGACGTTTTTCGCGCTCTGCGTCCCCCCAGCAGCCTATCCGTGAACGACGCCAGGCGAGTTGTTCCGAGAAGGGGCTCAGCCCGAGGGCCACCAACCAGGGCTTGAGCTAAGGCGGCGTTTGGCGATTCCGTGTGCCGTGTTCGATTTGATGTTCGTGCTGCAGCAAAGGGAGAACGAATCCAGAACGAAGGAACACGGAGTTCCGAAGCGAGAACCGTCATTTTGTTTCGATCGGTCCCCACCGAATCTTTCGGCTTTTGCTCCCGGCAGTGCGCACGTCGCGTTTGACATGTTTTGTGGTTCGATGTGTTTTCATGCTGTGCCCCTGTGTGGTATGTTATGCCATGATATGATTTGCTATGTTGTATCGTATCACTGTATGCTATGTTATGATATGGTAGGTTGTGTTGCGAGGTGTAGTGCTATGATCTGACATTTATAACACAACATCATAGCATGGTCTTGTGTTGTGACATAATACGTTCTGCCATGGTGTAATGTCTTAGGTTGCGCTCTGACATGCGATGGTTTGGCATACATATGTGATGCGATGCTACCTGTCATGTCACACCTGTCGCGGTACTGTGTTTTGTGTGGTATGGTATGTCATGTTTTGTTATGTTATGGTATGCTCCGTTAAGTCATGCTATAGTGTGCCATGCTTTGTCACGGTATGTTATATTAGTCATGCACTGGTCTGTCATGCCATGCGTTGGTAGCCTGTGTTGAGCTATGATGTGCTATGCCATGTTATGTGAGGCTGTGGCATGGTGTTTACATGCTCAGTTCTGATGTGCTCTTTTGGTATGCTTGCTGTCTCACCTCAGGTAACGCTCTGTGCTGTGATGCAGTGCTGTGGTATGCACTCATACGTCATGTTGTGTTATATGCTACGGTATGCATGCTATGCTAGGTGGTGTGATGTTATGCTCTGTTCATGCATCGCTTACGGTGTTGTGCAGCAATCTGTTCTGCTATGTTATCTCTGTCATTTTATGATTTGTCGGCGCGACTGAGCTGAGGATCTGACAGCCGCGGTATGCAGAATGGCGCGAGGCGGGACTCTCGGGGATATTGAAGAGACCTCGGGGATCCGGCGGCCGCGGTGTGCAGAGTGGCGCGAGGCGGGACACTTGGGGACCCTCGGGAGACCCGGGGGACCCGGCGGCCGCGGTGTGCCGAGTGGTGCCAGGCGGGATCTGGCGGCCGCGGTGTGCAGAGTGGCGCGAGGCGGGCCTCTCGGAGACGCTCGGGGGACCTGGGGATCTGGCGGCCGCGGTGTGCAGAGTGGACGGGTCGGGAGGTCTGTTCTTCAAGTGTAACGGCCCCAACCTGTGGGGTGGGCACAGAACACTGTCCAGCTCGAACCCTGCTACCGCCTCCCTCTCGGTCCCCGCTGGCCCCGCCGGGACCCGTCTTATTGCAATCCTCTCCAGGGCCTTGCCAGGGGGCAGCGTTAGGGGGGGTTAATTAGGCTCAGGAGGAGGGTTGCATCGACCCTCAATCGTCCACTCCTCGCCGACAGGGGCCCGACGGCACGCCTCGCCCAGGAACGCGCGGGGTCGCCCTGGGGGCCCGCCGCCGAGCTATCGAGGCGTGGCCGAGCCCAGGTCGACGTGGCCACCCCTCTGAGCTCTCCCGCGCACGCGCTGCCCCTTCACCCCCTCCCGCGCCCAGGGGTCCACGCGCACGCCCCCGGGGGTCCATCTCGGGGGAGGCGCCGCAGCTTGGCCGCCCCGTGATCTGGACGCCCAAAATGGGTTCGGAAAGAATGGGTACAATGCCCAACAGCAGTCCCTGCTCATTTTGAACAGGATTTGCTGCCCACGCCGCCGCGGCCGGTGTCCATTCGAGACAGAAGGCCGCCTGCCCCACAGCGGCCGCTGCTGCTTTGGGACAGCGTTCGTTGTTGGGCACATTGTGCCAATTGTTTCCGTACCCATTTCGGGCGTCCAAGCGTGAGCGGGGGCAGTGGGCGGGGGCTCGGGCAGGGTGGCCGGTACGCCGTCCAGGCAGGCCGCCGCGGCAAACAGCGGCTGCCAGGGACCAGTGGCAGCGCTGCCTGGAGCGCGCGGCGCGGCGGCACAGGCCCGCGTCGTCCGTGCCCTGGCCGCGCCGCCCTCGCCCTTCTGCTGCGCCTCTCCAAGCGATCCTCGCCCCTCCCGCCGCCGCTTCTCGGGCCCATTCTCCGAGGCCCAGGAGGCGCGTCCTCTCTCTCTTTCTTGTTCGCTCTCTCCTTCGGGTCTTTTTTGTTCTGGCCTGAGAGCTGCGCAGGCAGAGCACACCCAGCGTCATGCCTGCGTCCGGCGGCGCCCCCCGCCTCCCCCCGCCCTCATCCTTCATCCTCCCCACCTCCCTTGCCGCCTCCGCGCGTGGAGGCTCGCCAAGAGGGGCGCGGGGGTGGCCGGCGGGGGGGCGCCTCCTCGGGAGGCAGCGGAGCGGGGAGCCCGGGAGGCCTCGCGGAAGCCCCCCATGGGCGCTTCTTGGACGGCCACCCCCCCGCCGCCCCATCCCAGCCCGTTTCCGCGCCGCCAAGGCGCCCGTTCCCGTTTCCTCTCCTCCGCGTTTGGCCCCTGCGCATATTTATTTGCGCCCATTTGTTGTGGGACAGTGGTGGGGGCAGAGAGAGGAAGAGGAGAAGAAGGCAATGATGATGATGATGATGATGATGATGATGATGATGATGATGATGATGATGATGATGATGATGATGATGCTGATGATGCTGATGCTGATGCTGATGCTGATGCTGATGCTGATGCTGATGCTGATGCTGATGCTGATGCTGATGCTGATGCTGATGATGATGATGATGATGATGATGATGATGATGATGATGAGGAGGAGGAGGAGGAGGAGAAGGAGGAGGACGATGATAATACTTATAATGATGATGCTGATGATGACGGTGACGACGACGACGACGACGACGACGATGATGATGATGATGATGATGATGATGATGATGATGATGATGATGATGATGATGATGATGATGCGATGCTGATGGTGACGATGATGATGATGATGATGATGATGATGATGATGATGATGATCATGATGACGATGATGCGGATGATGCTGATGCTGATGATTCTGATGATGATGATGATGATGCTGATGATGATGATGATGATGATGATGATGATGATGCTAATGCTGATGATGTTGATGCTGCTGCTGATGATGATGCTGGTGATGTTGACGAGGATGATGGTAATGCTGATGATGATGAGGATACTGATGATGATGCTGATGATGATGCTTATGCTGGTATTGGTGGTAAGGCTGCTGCTGCTGCTGAGGATGATGATGCTGATGTTGATGATGATGGTGATGCTGATGATGGTAGTGGCGGTGATGGTGGTGATGCTGGTGGCTGTGATGATGACGGTGGTGGTGGTGTTGACGGCGATGTTGATGATACTGGTGGTGTTGAGGATGCCGATCAGGATGATGATGATGATGCTGATGATGATGATGATGATGATGATGATGATGATGATGATGATGACGATGGCGGCCATGATGGTGCTGTTGATGATGGTGATGATGATTATGATGACGATGACGATGACGATGACGATGTTGATGATGATGATGATGCTGATGATGATGATGCTGATGATGATGATGCTGATGATGATGATGATGATGATGGTGATGATGATGATGATGATGATGATGATGATGATGATGATGATGATGATGATGATGATGCTGCTGATGATGATGATGATGATGATGCTGGTGCTGTTGATGATGATGCTGGATTGATGATGCTGATGCTGCTGATGACGATGATGACCGTGTTGATGATGCTGATGATGATGCTGGTGATGATGATGTTGAGGATGATGATGATGATGATGATGATTATGATGATGCTGATGATGATGATGTTGCTGCTGCTGCTGATGATGATGATGATGATGATGACGATGCTGATTCTGATGATGATGTTGTTGTTGATGATGATGGTGATGATGATGCTGCTGCTGCTGATGATGATGATGATGATGATGATGACGAGGCTGGTGGTGGTGGTGATGCTGATGATACTGATGATGAGGAGGAGGAAGTGGATGAGGAGGAGGAGGAGGAGGAGGATAATGAGGAGGAGGAGGCGGCCGGCACACGAGCGTCGAATAGTATATCCAGGTCTCCTGGCAGGGCGATGTGTTCGATCCGAGTGTCAGGCGGTAGGTTTATGCTGCGATGGCGCGCCAGCGACATTGGCGAAGGCGTTCAAGCTTGAACTCCACGCGATAGAACCACGCGGAAGCACAGCACTGAAGGCCACGGCAGCGCCACAGGTCTCGACGGAACTTACCCTCGAGCTATCGTTGCCCCGAGCGGTTCAAAGTGGTACTATCGACGCGGTGTCAAACAAACATTGCGCGCGCCGACGCTTCGCGAACCTACCGCAAGCTCTCCACTCCGCTCCAGGAAGAGCCCCCCCTCCACCTCCTCCTCCTGCTCTACCTCCTTCTCTTCCTCCTCCTCCTTCCCTCCTCCTTC